TTGAAGTCTTGGGTTGCTGAATTTATGGAGTAGACTTCTCTCGTCACGAGTAGACTTCTTATCAAGTAGACTTCTCTAAACTCGAGTAGACTTCTTAAAGACAATAATAATACATAACTTAATGATGATTCAGAGGGACATTTCCCCCATTTATATTACATATCTTGACAACCTAGTAGACTTCTCGTGTCACGAGTAGACTTCTTATCAAGTAGACTTCTCTAGACTCGAGTAGACTTCTTAAAGACAATAATAATACATAACTTAATGATGATTCAGAGGGATATTTCCCCCATTTATATTATATATCTTGACAACCTAGTAGACTTCTCGTGTCACGAGTAGACTTCTTATCAAGTAGATTTCTCTAGACTCGAGTAGACTTCTTAAAGACAATAATAATACATAACTTAATGATGATTCAGAGGGACATTTCCCCCCATTTATATTACATATCTTGACAACCTAGTAGACTTCTCTTGTGTCAAGTAGACTTCTCGACTTGTTCAGATTCAATCAGCACCATCATCGAATCTCTACATATGATTTTATTGAAGTTAGACTACATAACGACTTGGCATGAGATAAAACAAAACACACTAAGTACAATGTAAATATTAACTTACACAATAGGGGCGAGTATGACCAGGTTGCTTGCACTTGGAGCAACTGTATCGCTTATGCATCTTTCTTGGTCTTGTGCCTTTTTTCCTAGACATTTCTAGCCAAGTTTGCCATCTAGATTTTTTCTTTCTTCCAGGAGGAATCTTTATGACTGGAACACCACATGGTTCCTTCTTGACATCATTTTCATCAGAAATAGGCGGGTTAATGGGATGGGAGTATGCCGCATATAAGGATTCCCGTGAGTAAGAAGGACACACAAGTGTTGACAGTTTCACGTTGGCCTCTTCTGCCGCTGCAATAACATGTAAGCAAGGGATTTTTTCAACATCATACACACCACAAGAACACTTCCTTTGTTGCAAATCAACAATACAATCTCGTGCTCCACCCTTAACAAAGAAACGCCAGCCATCAATGGGTTCTGCCTTCAAATCTCCTGCCTCATATTCTCGAATTGCCAATAGATACTCTACTCCACGGGTATGGCTCGTTGTGAGACTTAGAGCATCTTCACGCCTTTTATGATACCATCTCCCGAGCTTTGTTCTTATAAACTCTAACAGAAATATAATGGGAAACCCTTTGGCCTTCTTAACAGTCGTATTGATCGATTCTGCGATGTTGCTAGTCTTTATGTTGTACTTGTCTCCCGGGAAATGGACTCGTGACCATAACCTCGGGTCCGCAGTCTCCAAATATTGAGCAAGTCTGGGGTTTACCTCTCGGATTGCGTCCATGTATCGATTATAATCGTAAGTCGTATGTGCATATGCAGCACCTTTCACCAAGTACATGAGTTGCTTCCCGTGAAACTTAGTCACAATGTTTTGCTGCAGATGATAGTAACATATACCTCGTGTTGCCCATGGTATGACATTCTTAAATGCATCAGCTATGGAGTCGTGCCGGTCAGAAACTAGGACAAGCGGATATCCATCTGAGAAACATCTACTCAATTTGGTGAAAAACCAATTCCATGAATCATTACACTCAGAATCCACAATTCCAAAAGCCAAAGGAAATATCTAAAAGTTACCATCCTGTGCGGCTGCCACTAGCAAAACACCTCCATACTTCCCAGTTAGATGAGTCCCATCTACAACAATCACTCGCCTCAAGTACTTAAAACCAGCAATGGAAGCTCCAAATGAAATAAACAGGTACTTAAATCGATCCATCTCATCGCATACAAGGTCTGTGACACTTCCCGGATTAGCTCTCTCAATTTGACGCAAATAAGAAGGCAGCTTCTCATATCCATCTTCTGCTGTTCCTCTCACCAATTGTTGGGCATATATCAAAGCTCTATAAGATGTGGTGTAACTGAGGTTTAGACCAAACATCACCTTCATAGAATCTCTGATATGCTTTGGCACAATTCCATCGATTATGCCAACTCGTTCCACAAACAGAGCCCCAATGTACTTAGGTGTACAACGTCTACGATGAGCTGACCGGTCTATCACAGAACAAGTATGATCTTTCAGATACTTTGTCACCCAGAATGTGTTTGCTTCGTTCTTCACACCCGCTCTAACCATCCAAACGCATCCTTTGACTGAACATTTTGCTACAAACAAAGACGTTGTAGACTTATATACTTTGAAAGCAAATCTCTTCATAACTGCCATCAATCGCAACTCAGATACAAGCTTCTCCTTGCTAGGAAAACTCTGATTAACAAAGATTTTAGACGACCAACTACTATCCAGTCGATCAAAACCACCACAATGCTCTCTTACACCCTAAACTTCATCCTCATCTTTAACTTTCCCGTACTCACTGTAATCCACATCTGAGTCATCATACTTTTCTTTCATATTCTGATTAACTTCATCTTCATTCAAACTATCAGCTTCATCCTCATTTTTAACGTTTTCATCCCAATCTTCAGCGTCTTCATCCCAATCTTCTTCAGCATCAGAGCACGTATCCGCATGTCCATCCACATCATCATTCTCATGGTCCACTATCCTACTCGAAACACAAAGGCGAACACCATGCATCTTACTTAACTCAATCAAGCTCTGAACATGTCTATCATTTGTGAGATACATAGGCGGAGAATCAGGAGGCATTTGTTGAAGCATCTGAGGTGGTAAGGGATAGGATAACTCCACCTTTGTTTCCTTTTCCAGCATATAATCCTCTTGCACCATTCCAAGAAGCTCAACATGTGTGCAACCATCTCTTAAGAACAACATCCGCCCTCTTTTGTTATTATCCACCTCGAACTGCCAAACTGATTCACTCTTAACCCATTCTCCATAAACAGCGGGTATGTGAACCATTCTCTGTGAAAAAAAAACCAAATCCAAACCACATTAGACATCAATGTTGCATAAGTAGACTTCTCGGTAAGTCGAATGAAGTCTACTTAGTAGACTTCTATAGTAGACTAAGAAGTCTACTCTTAATAAGCTAAGTATCATATAAAACATGAAAACTCATTCGACTATACCTATAATATATAAACATGCAAAACTTATACATAAGCAAGAAAACTTAATAACAGAAGCTTAGGATCACGAAAATCATAAAAATTCGTTATATATTGTATATAAATGATTTTTTTTAAAAAACAAGAAAAGTAGACTTCTCGGATAAAAGTAGACTTCTCGCAGGTTAGTTTTGCAATTGCCAAAATATTAGTAGACTTCTCTATGAAAAGTAGACTTTTCGCAGGTCATTTTTGCAATTGCAAAATATTTGACTTTTTGGTCAATTGCAAAAATGACCTGCCAGAAGTCTACTTACGAAAGTAGACTTCTCCGAGAAGTCTACTTTTCATAGAGAAGTCTACTCTGAAAAGTCAAAGGTTGGTCAATTGCAAAAATGACCTGCTTCTAAAGAAGTCTACTCGAGAAGTCTACTCCATTTTTTTTGTTATCAAAGGAAATGGAGTAGACTTCATTCGGACCAAAAGAAGTCTACTTTTTCATGCGGTCAATTGCAAAACTAACCTGGACGTTGACTAGTAGACTTCATTCGGACCGAGTGAAGTCTACTTTCGGAGCCCAGAACTGAAAAACACCAAAATTGACTGAAAATCCGACTTACCACTCGCCTTTAGCTTTTTTTCTGGTCAAGATCTTTGATCCTAGCCACAATGAAAGAAGCACAACCGCAACAAACAACCAAATCGCCGGAATATAGAAATTTTTATGAACTTCAACTTTTTAATAGACAAATTATAGAGTTTTTGGGAAGAAAATAGAGAGAAAATGGAAGAATAGAAGCTTAAAGGGAAAATAATGAGCTCAACAAACTCAAAAATGGGTTTTTGCCACCATTAAAGCTTCAAGATTGGTTGAAAATGGTAGTTGGGTGAATTGATGATGATGGCATTTTCGTAAATAAGTGAGGAAGATGAGGATTAGTTGGTCAATTGAATTTCCGAAAATAAATAAAATTAATTAAAAACAATGGCAATTTCGTGAATAACTGAAACTATGAGGGATTGTTTGGACACAAAATGGCAAATGTTGGGAAGGTAATTTTTGTGAGTTAGATTTGCAATTCAAATCAAATTTTAGGTCATTTTTGCAAGTATCCCATATGTTAAACCGCAAGTACTTCTCCATGTCTCTACCGGTGCGTTTTTCAATTTTCTTATAGTAAAAGTTTCATACATATTTATATATGCCCTAAGAAAATGAAAACGATTGTTATTAACTGTTCCGATCCTATCCTGTTTTCCATATTAATTAATGAGTATATATTTGTATACTTATATTAGTTTATATATTAAATATAAAAAATCATTAAATTAATAAAAAAATTACATTATTAACCTTTATACATTCAATTATTATAATAATTTCAAAACTTAAATATTTGTTTGTTTAAATTCTTGACATGGTCTGATATTATATGGAGTTCATTAAGTGTATATGTATTCTGAAATATTATAAATATTGGACTTTTGCTTTCTAGCTTATGTTTGCGGGGAAAGATCTGGACTCATATTAGAGAAACCTCTTGATATGAGAGATACTCTAAATGGAAACAACAAGGTAGACGTAACTACCGAAACACAATTGGTAGAACAGAAATGGAAACAACTTGTAGAACAAGGTTGTTCAGAAGAAGAAATCAAACATGCCATGAAAGATCTCGGATTGAAAAGGTTTGTCGATCTCCGGTTTCCAAATGCTAAAACTCTCACGACTATTTATCTATATTTGATTGTTAAAACTATATCAATTATTTTACTAGTATTGTAAGTTTCTAACAATTTAAATAGTTTATATTATTTAAAAGTATTTTTACGAAATTTTATGTAAATAATAAACGGAAATGATTTATAAAATAGAAAATGTAAAATTATTATATGGTAAATTAAAATAGTTTGGATTTCTATTAGAAGTGACATGATGAAAACATTCCCACAGATACCCGTAGATATGGTAGCAAATGTGATGCTCGCAGCTGCGGAAGAACACACTGGCGATACAAATACCCACACAGTGTACCATGTTGGCTCATCTCGTCGCAACCCGATGACATTAAAACAGTTTCGAGACGTCGTGATTCGTTATTTTCTCGAAAGCCCTTTGATCGGACACAAAAGCATGCCCATAGTCGCCTCCAACGTTAAGATCCTATCTTCTATGACTTTGGTCACTCTCTACATGTTCCTTCGTCATAAATTACCTTTACAGGTATATACCTATAACTATTTCCAGAATACACTCTCTCTTGTTTCCATCGTATATATATACATGTTTGAGTTTTTTTTTTTTTTTTTCCTTAGATATTGCGATTGGCAAGTATGATTTGCCCATGGCGATATGGAGATGAGTATATACACAAGAGTCGCAAAGTGAAGACGATAATGAGATTGGTGGAACTATACAAGCATTATGCACTCGTCAAGCTCGTGTACGTATAATTCTCAAACTTCCCCTAAATTTAATAAATGTTTTTATGGTTGGATTTATTTATTATTCTTGAGTCGACATGAACACAATTAATAACTTATTCAGCATTATATACAAATTCTTTTATCAAGATTATTATAAGAAGTTTTTTTTTTTGGGGGCAAATACAATAAGAAGTTAATTTTTGATCATGCAGATTTGACGATAAAAATGTCGAGAAACTACGAATCAAAAGAAAGAATGTAACCAAAGAGATGGGAGTATCTTTAGGCATCGACCCCAAATGCATTGATTGGGAAGACTATTTCATGGCTACGCATATCCCAGGCCTCATTACTCACGTACTCGAAGAACAAACTACAAATAAAAAGTATTATTAAAATCATGTTAAAATTAATTAGTAAACCTCTTTCAAAAAGAAATCATGTTAAATAAGTATCTGTACGTATTTTACTGTTTTCTTTGTTATTATTGTATTGTCTATAGTTTAAACCTCCTACAAATAATTGGTCGGTACAAATGAGTTTATAAATTATGTGAATGTTGTTGAATATATATTTTAAAATAAATTGAGTGTGTGGGTTGTCCCCGTCCCGAATTAGCTCATTATTTTAATTAGTTTTTACCGTTAATCTACGGAAAAAAAAACCCTACTGTATACTTCGTTTCAGTTGATTTTCGGGAACGCTTGAAACGACGCCGTGAGAGGAAAACAAAGAAACGATTCAAACCCTAAATCGCGAGCAGCAAAAGCCGAGATTCCCTCTCTCTCTGCGCTTTCTCATAGTCTGAATCCCGTATTCGCCACTTTTCTTCTGGTTTCTCTCCCGGCGACGTGAGCTCTCTCTGTTCTGTTACGTGCCTGCTCGAGGTACAAAGCTCTCTGTTTCTTGTTCTGCCTCGAGACTCTGTTATCTCTGCTTTGTATTCTATGGTTTAGTCTTTGTGTATCTCTGGTACCACACCTCCAATAGCAGATTGGTGTTTAGGTGAGAAACCAACTTCTCTTAGGAAAAAATGCTGCAAATTTCAAAGACCCATCAACGAAATTTTGCTATGGCTACATCTTCTTCAACTTCATAAATGAATTCAGTAGGGACCCTTATAAATTCTTAAGTGTAGGGATTGGTTTTGGAATTCAGTAGGGACCCTGATAGTCATATTCCATCATAATCAACCAAATAGCTGTTAATGGGCACAAAGTTTCATGCTTTTTACCCTTTGAGCTCTTCTTTTGTTTTCCTACTTTTGTTGCTCTCGCGAACCAACTAAAGTCTCCGTCTTGTGGAAATTTCTGACTTTGCAGCTCATCAAATTTCCTGAGATTGTTTGGAGAGACTTCGGAGATGATGGACAACGGAAATGATCAAGAAATCGATGTTGGATCCGTGGTTGAAGCTGTTTCCGCCGATCACTCTTTTGGTGCTCCCCTCTACGTGGTTGAGAGCATGTGCATGCGCTGCGGTGAAAATGTATCTCTCCCTCTCACACACACTTACTTTACATAATTTCTTTGAGATTCTTGGTCTTGGTTATGTTGTCCTTATCCTTTGTCACAGGAGAGACAGAGTTATACTGGATGAAACCTTTTTAAATTAGTATCGGTGTAGGAAATTAGCTGTAATGTTCTTGCAATTCAATTAGTTTTATCCTCCAATCCAGTGGTTTGTGAGACTGTTATTAACTATAGCGGAGAGAAAACACAACTTATTGGCTAAATTTTAGTAATGGACTGAGAAATTTGTGGCGAAATATATTTGATATTTGTGGTTCAGTGGCAATCAATTGAAAAAATCTTTATTGTGAACTTTCAGCTACTAGTGTACTTTTACCGAAATCTTTACTTTAGTTGTAATAATCCGTCTTATATGATTTTGTTGGTCTTTCTCCTGATCTTTCTTCTGTGCATAAAATAGCTTCTTGTCTTTCTTTCAGGGAACAAGTAGATTTCTGTTGACCTTAATTCCTCACTTCAGAAAGGTATGTTGTACTCTGTTTTGAAAAGGACAAATTTTTGTTCATTTTCTAAATTCTGATACTCACTTTGAATCGACTAGGTTCACTATTTGGTTTAAAGAGACTCGTTTTCTTGGTTGTACGTTCTGTGTTTGTACCTTACTCTACCTTGTGTTAGCTGAAAATCTTACTGTTAAACTGCTTCTTGTTACAGGTCTTGATATCTGCATTTGAATGTCCGCATTGCGGAGAAAGGTACAACTTTTAACGATTCTGAGATGCTTACAACTATACGATATGAGCAGGGTTTTCAACAAAAGAAAAGATTCACTAAATATTTTCTGTTTTCTCAATTTGAAAAAGATAAAGCCTTTAATCTCATCTCTTATATATTTTATAGGAATAATGAAGTTCAGTTTGCGGGCGAGATTCAACCCCGAGGATGCTGTTACCATCTAGAGGTCCTAGCTGGCGATGTGAAGGTTGATACATTGATTCAAATATAAATTTATATTCTTTTCTTTTCATTTTTTTTTTCATACAGAGACGCACTTACCATGTGGTAGAATGTAGCAATCCATGCTTATTAAAGAAAACGTGAATATCTGTTTTTAGTTGTCCCTCAGTCCTTCAGCTAATTTTCTGTTTTTTAGTTGTCTCTCGCTCCTTGGGGCTAATTTTGCCTTCTTGCTTCTGTGTGAATGCAGATATTTGACCGACAAGTTGTGAAATCTGAATCAGCCACTATTAAGGTGAGTTGTCTTGCTGATTCTTGGTATGTCATTGCTTTTTCAAAATAAAAAATATTCTGATTTTGCAAACTCGGGCCGCTTCCTGTATTTAAAAGAAAACTGTGAATTAGTTTCTTGTTATGGAAACTGGACTGATGTGAAGCTGGAAACTGACAGTAGTTTACGAATATTTTCCTTCAGATTCCTGAACTTGATTTTGAGATTCCACCAGAGGCCCAACGTGGAAGTTTGTCAACTGTAAGTCCTTAGTATCTTAACCATAATGGTTTGAACGTTTCAGTCTTTTGGTTTTCCTATTTTCAAGTTCCTTCTCGATAACTCCCCTTTTGGGTTTAATTTACAGGTGGAAGGGATATTAGCGCGAGCTGCAGATGAACTGAGTGCCCTTCAAGAAGAACGCAGGGTAAAGTCTGACTGGGAGCTGGACATTTATGTTTAATGCGCAGTTTAATTGTCTTACAGTCAAGAAACTTAAAGTATATATTTTGCTGCACACAGAAAGTTAATCCTGAAACTGCTGAAGCAATAGACCAATTCTTGTCCAAACTGAGAGCTTGTGCCAAAGCAGAGAGGCCCTTCACCTTCGTTTTGGACGATCCTGCTGGAAATAGTTTCGTTGAGAACCCGTAAGGATATTCCATTTGGAAATACCCAAAAATAGAAGACGTTGTGTGTTTTTTTATTATTTGCTTATGACAAGTTTACAACATGACAGACATGCTCCATCACCAGATCCCTCTTTAACCTTAAAATTCTATGAGCGGACACCAGAGCAACAAGCAACACTTGGATATTCTGCTGACCCATCGCAGGCTGGACAATCAGGAGGAAGCCTTGGCGCACCTTCCGCTGAAACAACTTCTGTACCTCATGGAACAATCGGAGCAACAGCTGGTCATCGAGCGATTGCTCAGAGTAACAGCACTGATATTTCCGATAACTTGTTCAGATACAGTGCACCTGAGGAGGTAACTTCTGACTCTGTAACTTTTGGAAGACTTTTGTTGTATGTTTGATGTTATGATCACTAGAAAAAAAGAAGTCACTGTGAACATTTGTACTCTTGAGAGTGAAAAACTTAGATGGTGATAAGATATTTCATATAACATCACAATTGTTCTAACAGGTGATGACTTTCCCTACAACCTGCGGAGCATGTACTAAGCAGTGTGAGACACGGATGTTCGTGACTAGTATCCTTTTGAAGTTGGGATGTCCATTCCTCGGTTTTTCTGCAACAAGTTTTCCGTATATTTGTCTGTTTGTGAACTGCTAGGTGTTGTTTAGCACTTGACAAAATATAGAAATCCCGTACTTTCAGGAGGTTATTGTCATGGCATCCACATGTGAGGATTGTGGCTATCGCAATTCTGAGGTTTGGTTCCATTGGTTTGGTTTTTGTTAGAGGTTTTGCAGACATATGGCTGGTCTTTAGGTTATTAACTGTTGTTGGTCATCCTGAGCAGTTGAAGCCTGGTGGTGCAATTCCTGAGAAGGGAAAGAAAATCACTCTCTGTGTCAAGAACATAGCTGACCTTAGCCGAGACGTTATCAAGGTTAAGTGTTTCGCTTCAATATGTTTATATACTGTAGCAGCGCACCAGTATTCTCGTTGATCGCAATATTATAGTAGACAACCTTATGAACCACTACGCAGGCTAAGAAATGGGTTCTAATATTTATATATTTGGGACAACGCCTTCTAATATGTCATTAATGGTGATTTTTGTTTATCGCGTGTATCAGTCAGACACTGCAGGAGTGATAATCCCAGAACTTGATCTGGAGCTAGCTGGTGGTACACTTGGTGGGATGGTAACAACGGTGGAAGGGTTGGTCACACAGATCAGAGAAAGTAAGTACTGTTGAACGGATTTATAGAACCATGGCATTAAGTCAGTATGTGAAGTAGCTGATCCAAGTATTTTATATTCCGCCTGTACAAAGCTTTCGCTGTTTGGATAATGGAAGCGTTTCGAGATTTGTTATTGCCAATGATGGATTATACCTCTTAGCTACTGACCAAGCGTGGTATGGGTTCTCACAGGCCTAGCGAGAGTCCACGGATTCACTTTTGGTGACAGTCTTAGTGAGAATAAGAAGAACAAGTGGAGAGAATTTGGATCCAGGCTAACTAAGGTAGCATCTTCATTGCTTTCTGTTTAGTATTAGGCCTTCTCCCGTTCTTGATGTGCAAGAACAAGCAAAGCAATAAGACACCTGTTTTCTATAATGACGAGTTTTTTTTTTTGTTGCAGCTTCTAAGCTTAGAACAGCCATGGACTTTGATTATGGATGATGAATTAGCAAATTCCTTTGTTTCACCGGTAACAGATGATATCAAAGATGATCATCAGCTCACATGTAAGTTCCTCGTTTTCCTTTACTACACAGACGTTAGATTGCTTTTCTTTGCATGGAAAGCTTAACTCCAGTTACTACGAACATACAACATTCATTAGGGATTTGATTTGATGAAACCTGTAAACTGTATTATGAAGTTGACTTGAAGTAGGACTCGATATGTTTTAATTAGGTCAGAACTCAAATGTGTTTCCAATAACAAAAGTTTGTTATGTTTGAACTACACAGATGAAGAATATGAGAGGTCATGGGAGCAAAACGAGGAGTTGGGTCTCAACGACATAGATACTTCTTCAGCCGATGCTGCTTATGAATCCACAGAGACAACTAAATTACCTCCAGCTTAAAAGATTAACTGAGATACTTGATTTTGGGATTGATGGTGCTGATCAGAGATTTTGATCTGTATGTTTTTATGTTGTATGGTAACATTTACAGAATGAAGGAGCAACAGGCTTGTCTTTTTTTCGATTCTTTGAGATGATTTATTCGTGATTATACTATAGATGATACTATCTAATTAGCAACATTGTGGAACAGCAAAACCAGACATTATTTACTGCGTGTATCTGTTTACACATCAAAGAACTTCACAGCAGAGCAGTTATGTAGTTAACAATTTTCTTACAGCCCAAAAGAAGAAGCCAACTTATACATTCGCCCATTACAACCCTTAGAGAAAACAACATGAAAACACCAAAAACCTTCTTCCCATGATGGCTTCTTGCCACCAAGACCGCAAAATCACACGGCAGCCTTAATCTATTCTGGTTCAACATCGATTATCTCCGTACCCTTCTCTTCGTACTTCACTTCCACTAAAAACTTTATACTCGTCTGCCAAAAGAAAAACCAAAGTATGCTAATAAGCCAACATCTCTTAGTGTCTTAGAGACACAACTAAACCTTAAAACAGAGTCAGTTTTTGCCTTGTTTACCTGTTTGGGATCGTACACAGCGTACTCGTTATACTCGAGAGGACTGTCCTTATGTTCTGAAGGAACCAATCGTCCACAAGGAACCTTTATATCATCTCTCCAGATGAAATGCTCCGATTCTTCAGTCTTTTTCCTCCCTAGCCCTTTAACTCCAACCTTCCTCTCTTCTAATGTCTTTGTGTCCTCCGGTGGATTTGTGAATTCTGTAACTTCCTCGCCAAGGGAAGCAACGGCTAACACAAGAAACCCTTCCGGTCTATCCACAGCTGTGAAACCATACCTTGCTGCTTCCGCAGCTGCATCTGAACACACTATAGCTTTTCCAAACTGCAGAAAAAAGCATCACAAAAGACTAATGACCCGATCATATGCATTTGGAGGAGAAGGCAGAAGGAGAACATTTTCTTTTATTACCATATAACCAGGAACCGGAAGAGAGCAGACCGCAGGCAAGAACCCTTTGTAGATATGTCTCAACAGATTCGAGCTCCGAGACCCTATGCCAACAACAGAAAACACCAATAACGAACTTGACCAACTTCGCAAAAGCAAACGAACATTATTCCGGACTCTGGACTCCTTACCACACCACAAAAGAACCTTGTTCGGTAAGTTCTTGATGTCATCTAGTGTAGGAATTGCCTCTGATTCAACCGCAAAAACATTCACCACTGTCGCACTATACTCCTGAAACACCACCGCAACACATCATTACGGTCGGTCAAATCAACTGTGCAACACTTGTAAATTCCATGCCAGGAGACAGAACTTACAACGTCAGAGACTTTCACAGGCTCATAAGTAGTCTCGAGGTACTTCACGATCATCTTATAATCTTCAGACTCTTTGTCTACCACAGAAATCTTGCAGCCAAGTTTATTGTACCGATCAGACAATGGGTCATCGAGTGTGTCTCCTCGCATGTCCCCTATCAAACGAGAGGCTGTGTTTATGTCCCTCACGGTCTCAAAAGTAGACGCCGCCTGCCATCCAAATACCCATTACAACAAAAATTTAAGTGTACTGTGACATACACAGAACAACGAAGAGATGATATCAGTTTTACTTACATGGTCCGCAAGTTCATGGAAGTCGTGCAATCGCATCGGCCTAGTGCTGTGCATCAAAGAGAACCACCGTGAGCTAAAATCAGCCCACATTGCTTCAGCTTTCTGACCCGTCTCCTTTGTTGTCTTGAGCTTCTCAACGAACTCCAGAAGTACCTCCTCGCCTGAAAAAAGCAGAGCCACAAGTCACTGAGTCAAAATGTATCAGCAACAAGTGATATACAAAGGCTTTTAGTCCACTAAGCCCTACATCGTTTCAAGTGTAAATCGGTTAGCATTCCTATAGGCAGATCAGGTGGATCCAAACCAAGCTCCATCAATGCGTATCTGATATAAAACACCGAAGATCAGAACATTACACGTAGAGAAGGATTCTTGATAGAAATGAAGAATGTGCCAAGAACAGTACTTGTATATCTCTTGACCACACAGAACTTTAACAAAGTTTGCAACAAACGGATCAAGCTTGCAATGAGCAGAAGCAACACCGAGCTGCCTTAGACCAAGCGCTCCACTTCTCACTTCGATTCCATCATCCTGCAGAGAACCAAAACGTCAAAATGCTAAATATTTACCCTATACAACATAAAGTCATCCAAAGATGTGAAGTGAGGTACAAGGTACAAGGTACAAGGTACAAGGTACAAGGTACAACGGTCATACCATATCAATTGGGAAAAACTTGTGAGGTTTCTTCTCAATCTTCTTCTCACGCTCCCATGGCTCGAACTCATTCCCTGTTATCTCTTCAAAGAGCCTCGCGAACTCTTCGATCGCAGCTTCTTCATCCTCCCACTCCTCAAGCCGCTCTTCCGCATTAGGATCATCTCCTACTTTTCCTCTCTTGAAGTACATATTGAGGTTGCTCTCAGGCACCGTAACTAGCTGCATAATACAATACCTGCAGAAACCAGCAGTCTCTAAGAAAAGCTCCCTCCTACCTTAAGAAAAATAAGAGAAAGTTTTAGGGTTTGTATCATACTCATTACGCCCTTTTCCCAAATCGCATAGAGAGAAGGCGCAGTTATACAAAAGCCCATCTTTTTCAAATATCTTTCCACCACTCTCCTGAAGCTTTGTGTCCTTGTAGACTCCTCTTTTGCCATACATTTTTAGCTGAAAACATCAAACACCAATCAGATTCTCCAAATTATCCCATTTGAAACTAGCATGAACTAGATTTGCTAAGATCAACACCTCGGCTGATAAGGATTCAATTGCTTCCTCGCTTGGATCTTGCTTATCCCATGGAATCCCTTTCCCTTCCACTGAAAGATCACTGACCACGTCGTAAGCTTCAAGTGGCTGAGCTTCTTGTTTCTCCACGCTATCAACCAACCACGCTTCGCTCACAACTGGTATTCCTTGTTCCCTTGAGTCACAAGCAAGGACACCGAGTTAAAGGAGATTTGAAAAAACAGAGAGAACACAAATTCTATGACAAACATATACACCCTTACATTGCTTCCACAAGTTTCGAGGAACCACCTCGTTCTCTCTCAGCCGGTGAGACCACCAAACAGGTTACACCTTGAACAGAATTCGAAACTTTCCCACCGTGTCTCTCAATCTTTTTCTTCCAATATTGCTGCAACAACAGAGATAATGAAAAACACTGTTAAAGCGTGTAAAGCAAGGAAGCACAATGAAGATCCCAAACAAAGTCAGACTACGTTACATGTGTTCTCGTCAGTCGTCCCATGAGAGAGATCATCATTCCCGTGAATGGTTTATCAGAGCTTAACTCTCTTTTAGGTCGACTTTTCGGGTCCTGATGTTTCTTGATCAACTACATCAAAAACAGCAGCAGCTAAAGAAATCTGAAAACAGAGGCTTCAAATATTAGATCCTTGAATTTCGGAACTTACATCAGATATAGCAGAGTTCATGACGGAATCAGGGAGTTTGATTGGCTCATCTTGCCTAGGAGGATGTTTAGTGCTAAACACGCAACTGCACCACTCACTAATCTCACCTCCACATATGAATCTCTTATCATTGTCGCAAATTAAATTACCTCCGCATAAAGGACATTTGGCTAAAGCCCCATAAAACAGCAAATCTTGGCTGCTCAATACAAACAAACTTCAACTGATGAAAAATTGTTACAAATAAAAAAACCTAAGTCCTTAACTTCTAACGATCCATGAGACTAACCATTGAGCTAGCAAGATCTCTTCCGGAGCAGAAGAATCCTGACCGTTGGTTTCAAGAACTTCTTTAATCTGATCAGCGGACAGATTCTCCTCAACCGCTTTACAAAACTCACTGTACTCCGACGCAGCATCTCCAGCGCCGTTGTCGTTTTCTGACTTTGCTTTCTTCTGAGACTGTTCAGCTTCTGGAAGCTTCCCTTCTGCCTTATGCTTCCGTAAATTTCCCTTCTGAAGAAAAAAAAATGGATTTGAGTTAAAATTAGATACACATTTACACAAATTAAAAGACCAACTGATGTTCAAAGTTAAAACCTTCTGTTCGTCTCCAGACATGTGCGCGTGAGATCTCGTCTCGTGCACCTTCATCGAAGGTAATCTATTTAACTGTCTGATTCTAAGAAAAACCAAAAGCTTTGTCTTTGAGTGTTTACAGAGTTCCTTTTTTGGGAGGTTTTGTTCTTTTATTCTAGTGACGCAAAGAAAAAGGTAATATAGAAGACGAGAGAGGTCCTTTGTATCAACGGTGCAGTGATAAATTGAGAATGCTACTCTGTCTTCTCCGAAGAGAAACAAGTGTATCTCGAGCATGTAGGGGTTCGACACGTGTCGAAATGGGTCTCTTTCTGTGGACAGGTGGTTTTGATCTCCAGTTATTTCTTTGTTTTTATCTCTTTAAAACTCTGCATGTTGCCATCTTCGATCTTTAATATGTACACGAGTCAGTGTTTCTATGGCGCTTCGTTTTTCTTGTTTAAATTAAGCATTATCTTCTGTAGTTTCACTTCAGTTAATTCGGTTTGGGTTCAATTTAGTTTCTTCTCAAAATACTTAAAACCAGTTTCAATTCTAATTAATCGTACCGGTCAATTAACCTGAAACGAAACCGATGAATCTTTGCTGAACCAAACAAAAACCTTTCATGCGAAGCAGCCAAACAGGTGAAGGGAAGCCGCATGATAACTGATAAGACATAACTTACATTCTGGTTGAAGACTGATTGTTCGGACCTACTAAAGATAGATTTTCAGTTCTCTTATGTTACGTAAGAGATCTTCATCAGTTCATCCGCATTGGGTAGTTACTTTACTTATTAGTAAACTCCATATTTTCATTTATTAGTATGAACTGACAAAAATAAAAGTTATTCATATTGCGGCCAAGAAAAAAGAAGGTTATTTACATCATTTTTCCGTTCTATATGAACTAGAAAAAATATCTCATCAAACTTCTTCTGATTGCGATAGCTTAACAATTTTTTATTACCATCTGCTTCATATAATTCTAATACCAGAAATAGAAAGCAATAACAAAATAGAAAAAGTAAGAATATATGATACACAATAATACACAACTACACGTAAGAAAATTTCCACTTATACACACGAGACACGCTTTCATTATGATAGGTTTTGTATTTCCAGCTGAAACTTTTGACTAATTTCATTCCAGTTTTTCTTCTATTTTTGTTTTAAATATCATCTATTTTTAATACATTAATAGCACACTATATAGTATGTAAATATAAAGTATACTATTATGTTTCTATTTGTAAAATTTACGAAGATATATAAGTTTCATTTTATAAAATGAACATTTTTCTTTTGTGATAAATTTTATAGCTGGAATTGTTTAAATAGTTGGCAAATCTCACCGTTAAAAGTTTTTGTTAGTTTTCTGTTTGTAGTTAATTAATTGTAACTAATTATATCTATAAAATTTCGTTCACGTGTGACACAATCCTATTACTGTTATACTTTTATTAAGATTTTGTGAACTATTTATCGACTGTAGGTAAGTTGCATTCCACTCCACACAATAATAAAATTCATGAGAAAAAAACTGTGAAAGAGAGAGAAAAATTGACAAAAATAGAAAGACAAGAAAAAATAGATAATGCGTACTAGACGACACATACATTCCTCCTATAGTCAACAACTGGATTCCAGTGTGACGGTGATTGTCTCTTTTCATTCTCTCTCTTTTACTAATCCTGTGATAAACTCGTAATTTTTTTTTTTTAAAATAAGAGACGAATCGAGAGGACTCTCCCATATATGGATTTTTTTACTATAAATATGAGTTTAATAGTTTCGCCTAAAACCAATCCTACAGGCTTAATAGCATCTTCTTCCCCAAGGTTTCTCTCTCTCTCTCTCTCTCTCTCCTCCTATTTGATCTAAGTTATTCTTAAATTTTTAATCATATTAAAGACTGAGAATCTAATGTATCTAGATGTTTGATTTGTGATATTCAGAAATCTTTAAATTATGCATTTGTTAAACTCAAGCCTCATTTTTGTTTCAGGTATATATAACAAAAAAATGATGCTTTCGGTGATCGTTGCGATCCTCGTCTGCCTTGTGGGCTACATTTACCGATCATTGAAGCCTCCACCACCGCGGATCTGCGGCGTTCCTAACGGTCCTCCGGTTACCTCTCCGAGAATCAAGCTCAGTGATGGAAGATACCTTGCTTATAGAGAATCCGGCATTGATAAAGCCAGTGCTAACTACAAGATCATCGTCGTTCATGGCTTCAACAGCTCCAAAGACATGGCATTTCCAATCTCTAAGGTACAATCTGTTCTTTTTTTTTACTCCGCTCTCTTCTCGATTTTCGCACGTGTCACTCATTCCATTTTTTTACCTTTCGCTAAGGATAAAAACTCCATTTGCTTTTAAAGCCCTACAAAAATATTTTAATAAAAACTTGATAATGTTTTATTGTTTTTCTCTGTGCGTCTTACAAAAGAAAAAAAACCATTTCACATGTAAACAAACACAAAAGATATAAAATCCTCCGTTTGTCTTCATTTCAGAAGTTTTTTTGTGTGAAACTGAAAAGGGCATTTTATTCTCTTAAATGTGAAAAAAGAAACACATTTTAAAATGTAAACGCACACTCAAAATTGACTTATACAACTGCAATAAACAATTTTTTTGTGTGTGTGTGCGCGCGCAGGATCTTATTGAGGAGCTTGGGATATACTTGCTGTTTTTCGACAGAGCAGGATATGGAGAAAGTGACCCACACCCATCACGCACAGTCAAGAGCGAAGCATACGACATTCAAGAACTCGCCGATAAACTCAAGATCGGACCAAAATTCTTCGTTATTGGGGTATCACTCGGTGCTTACTCAGCTTATAGCTGCCTTAAATACATTCCCCACAGGTATAAAAAAAACCTTGATAATTTCTTCTGCTTCCCATATTTTTCTATCTCATATTTTTAACTCCCTTTTGGTTACATAGATTGGCCGGAGTAGTCTTATTGGTTCCATTTGTGAGTTATTGGTGGACTAAAGTGCCTCAAGAACTTTTGAGTAAAGCGCTCCAGCTAATGCCAAAGCAAGACCAGTGGACGTTTCGAGTGGCTCATTACGCTCCGTGGTTGTTGTACTGGTGGTTAACCCAAAAACTGTTTCCGTCTTCGAGTATGATCTCCGGGAACAAAGCCTTATGTAGTGACAGAGATTTGGTCATCACAAAGAAGAACTTGGAGAATCCAAGTCCTAGCGTGGTAAAAGAAGCTAAAACCTTCTTTTTTTTTTTTTTTTTTTTGCAATGTATATGACAATGAAAGAGCTAATTGGAAATGAGGTTGAACTTTTGCATATCACGGATTCATGGGGCTAAAATGAAATATTTTTGAAGCTCATGGGTCAAATTGGAAATAAGATTTAGATTGTTTTACAGTTTGACCCTGTATTTTTATTTTGATGATCTATTACGACCCCAGGTGAAAGTTCGGCAACAAGGAGACCATGAATGTCTTCACCGGGACATGATAGCTGGATTCGCCACATGGGAATTCGACCCGACTGAACTTGAAAATCCGTTTGCGGAAAGCGTAGGATCAGTCCACATGTGGCTAGGCGTCGAAGACAGAGTTGTTCCGGGAGAAATTAATCAATACATCGCACGTAAGCTTCCATGGATTAAGTACCACGAGGTTCCAGGTTATGGACATCGGCTAAACGCGGAGGAGCAGATATGTGAAAAGATTATAAAGGCGCTTCTCGTGGAATGATCTACACAAGATGTCTTAACGTTTTACACTAATGTTAAAGGTCTTATTATTTTAATCGCTTACTAAAGGGATTGATTTGATGAGTTATAAGTTTGTTGTGACTAAAATAAGAACCACTTATCGTATTAATAATTTAGCGTCAAACTCTTAAGGTATGATTTTATCCGATTTATAAAAAGATTAAGTTATAGTAGTTGCTTTCCTTTTTCCTTTATACAAAATGATTATTATGCTCGGTTGTTTTTTTTTATAAAATAATTTATAAAATTTTACTACCCATACATGCAATATTAATTACGTCGGATTTGTAATAGCCTGCTTCACTCACGATATCACGATTTAGGTTTGACCACAAACGGATTGCTATTTGCAAGTTTGCAACGTATTTTGTAAAGTTTATGAATATTTTGCAACAATGGATTCCAAATATTTAGTAACGAATGCATTGTGGCAGCATTACATATTTGCATCAAATTTTATTACCGCTCAAGTGCGATCCAGGCAGCAAATAAAAGGGATATTTGAAGTCTCTGTTCATATTATAATTAAGTTAATGAAACCTCTTTTGGCTAAATTAGAGAAAATGTGTAAGACTTGTTTTAGCTAAGTGCCGTTTTAGTTGTCTAATTATTTTTTCTCTTAGATCAAAAATCTTTCATGCGGGAGCATTTAACGATTGGCATTTTGCTCCAAGTAACACGTAGCCATTTATGATTCTTCATAGGGTATCTCGTAATGTACATCGAACTGAAAATTATGAGTTTTTATTTATTTATCTTGAATGTGATTCTCGGTAGATCGTAGCTAATTTAGATTTACTTCTTTTCGTTAGGCTTCATCTGATCAAAATGTTGCAGAGTGTGAACCTAAAAGTAAATAAAAATGCTGTAGAAATAAACTGAAGCATATAAAATAACCAAGCAAATATAACGGTGGAAAGCGGTCCAAGATCGGTTTAATGAAATTTTTTAATTTCTTCGACCCCAAAATAAACCAATTAAATCGAACCGAAACTTGAACCGAAATGCCTCACCGGTCAAAGCTGCTGACGCCATCTTCAATAAGCACACGGAATCTGTAAATACAATGATGTTAATGGACGTAGGAAAATCACCCAAAGAGAGAGGCGTGACTAAAAGGGATTTTTTGTGTTCCTTCTGATCTACCCACAAGCTTGCTCGACCTCGTTGAAAAACTTCGGGTGAGAGATTCAAAGCCTTTCTCCTGCCCGAATTGCGCTTGGATTCTCGGAGTTTCATAGCTGAAGTCCGTGTTTTGGTTCTTCTCCTTGATTCTAGGGTTTTGCAATTCCTCGCCGGGATTCGACGGTGGCTTTGGGCGAATTTTAGGGTTTTCCGGGTCCTATGTCCGGATTCATGAATTGGGATTAGATGCAAAGGTGAGATTGTTCGAACTTTTTTCATCAATTCTCAAGAATATGGATTTTTTGGGTCTTTCGCTCATTGAAAGTTGTACTGGTTTTCAAAGTTATTCAGCTATAGTGTTTTCGCCACTAAAAGTAAGAAGTAAACTGATTCAGTGTTGCTGTTAGATTTCCTCACATTACTCCCGTTTGTATTTGGTTCAAAATCGGCGTTGCTGGGTTCTCTAAATCGTTAAGATAGTCGTCGGTGATGCGTAAGAGTGAGATTACTGTGTTTCAGGATTTACGTGAATCAGGTGTTTGTTGGAGAGATACCTTAATTGCTAGTTGATAGAAAGTTTGTAATTTTGGGCTAATTGCCTCATTTTTCACAATAAAAATTTCTGATTTCGTGCCATTGGCTTTCTGGTTGCAGGTTTGAGCGTGTGTTAGGGTGAATCAGGTAGACAAAGGCATGATGCTAGGATCTGGTAACAGTTTGAGCAGGGGTACCATAGGATTGTCATCTGATACCCCAAATTTGTCCCAAGTCCTAACATTGGAACCGATTAGATTAGGCAATCAAAACTATACTCGTTCAGGAGAGCTTAGAAGGGTTCTCGGCGTGCCTAGTAGAGCCTCATCGGAAGAGAATTCTTTTGGAATGTCCCATCCCAAACCTTCTCCTCCTGTAGCAACAGAGGAGCTCAAACACTTCAAAGAAAGTGTGCAAGATACTTCCCGAGAGGCTGGGTATGGATCTTGTTTCTTTCTTTCATAAGTTGCGACTACACAGTGATTTTGTAAACATTTATTTGCTGTGACCATTGACTAATCAAAGGTGCATAGAATTTGGCTTAGGAGTTTTAAGGTTTCTCTTGGTATTCTTTTTCACAGTATAGTACTGTGTCTACTAGAACGAGGACTTACTGCTTGATTGTTATTCTTGATTGTGCTTTACTAAAACCTGATGTTCCTTTTGTAGGGATCTAGCGAAGAAACTAGGTGAATCCATATTCAAGTTGGACAAATATGCGGAAACATTGAGTTCAAAGAAACGACGGCGAAATGATATACCCCCTGGTGAAAGAATGGACGCAGCAAACTTTGATAAGATGAGAAACCAGGTTCCAAGAGCACAAGATAGTATGGCTCAAAGATCTGAGGAAAGGAAAAAGATGCTTGGGTTGAACAAGCGTGCTCGTACCACAGTCGGAGATGTCCGGGTTTGTACCTAAATCTCACTTTAGATTTGTGTGATGCATATAAATGTATAGAAGCTTGTTTATTTTCCTTGGTATTTTTCCATTCTGTTCATCTGTCGCTCCATATTTCGCGACTTTTGAAATCTTTATAGAAGACATGGGAATGGGATTTGAATATTTTGCTTGATTGTTCAATTAGTGTGTTCCGAGAGCTGTTCTAACATGTCACTATTGTTTAATGGTTTTCGCCTGATATTGCTTTCAGGCGGATGGTAGAGTTTCTATTCTTGCAAGGCAGCAGGTTATAGAAAGGGGCTCTGATTCACCTCCAAGTGTTTCTGGAGAAACAGTGCGAACAGAGGAGAAGATACGCAGACTGCCTGTTGGTGGTGAAGGATGGGAGACAAGAATGAAAAGGAAACGGTCTGTTGCAACTCTAGGCAACAGAGTTATGAATCCTGATCATCGTGTCATGCAGCCCAAGCCGGCAGCTGACTCTAAGTTGCGTTCTTGTGACACCCAAAATTTCAGGTATGCTTTGATGATATATAAGATTAGCAAGCCTAATATTTATCCCTGTTGCTTAGTTAAAGTGGAACTTATAGGGATCCAGACATATAACACTGCTCACTGTGGAGTTTCGTAAGCCATTGCCAGAGATTGTCAAGCTGCTCACTTAAACTGGATTTCATCTTGAATCTGTTTCAGTAGATCTTACTTTAGGAAAATGATTTTATGATGCTAATTTCCGTCGATTTTTTTTTGTAACATACTGTTGTATGTATAGTTTTCCAGATTGATCCCTCGTGCATGATTTTCCTTCTCAAGAACAATATAACGTGGCCCATTGTTGCAGATTGAAACCGTCTACTGGGGTGAGTGGGATGAACAGACTTGAGTCTTCATTTGAGCCAGACAGTCCAAGTATGGGTGCATTATCAAGGAATGAGTTGGAGACTGTTTCCCTCTCAAGGGACCGGTCAGTACTTGCTGAACAGAAGCTTATGGCCAAGGGAAACAATAAGTGAGCAGATACCTCAAGTTTTATTTGCTATAGATTTTGCTTATATTTAACAGAAAACTTGTTTTTGACTGAGAAATGCATTATTGTGCTTATCCAGGAGAAACTTACAGGATGATAGCCCCACAAACAGCTCTACTGCAATATTGAGAGCTAAGGTTTCTAGGGCTACAAGAACAGTAGCTGTTATGGGTGTTGATTCTTCATCCAAAGTGGATCCCCCATCTGGAGTGTTACAAGGTTAGAGGCAATTTAAGTGTTGTCTAAATACACTATCTGTAATGTTTATGAGAAAATAATCTAAAGCTTCAATTGCCAGCAGGTTCATCTGCACATGCAATGGCTCAATGGGTTGGCCAGAGAGCTAAAAATTCTCGAACCAGAAGAACAAATGTAGTTTCGCCTGTTATAAAGCATGCTGATAGCAAGATCTCAGCTCAAGGTTTTGCAACATCTGATTTTAGTCCTAGAGCATCTCCTGGAACCACTGGGTCACTCTCAGTTGTCGATAGTAGTCCATTAAAAATGAAAAGGGAGCCGAGGAATGCTTCTTCACCATACGGGTTATCTGAAAGTGAGGACTCAGGAGCTGGAGACAACAAAACAAGAGAGCGTGCTCTTGCGAGTGGTGACTTCTTCACAACTCCTAAAACAGGGCCGCTGTTACTTTCTGTAAGGAAGACTAAAATTCAAACTAGTCACAAAGGAGGTGGTGCATGGAAGCAAGGAAAGAGCGAAAGTGTTTCGTCGTTGACAACCCCTGGCTTTCATCCTGTCATGGTTAAGTCGGAGAATCTACCAGTAGAGAGGCCTCTGCACAATGTCAAGATTGCGTCAGATAAGAATAGAAGGTGATTCATGGCTAACTCAGTTCTTTTTCTTGTCCCTTCTACCTTGAAAATATTATATCATATATATATCTTAAAATACGTGGGACCAATTGTTCTACCTCTCTCTCTCTCTCTGGACAGCAAATATGGGCGTCCACCTGCGAAAAAGGTGAAAGATCGTAAACCTTCTACTCGTCTTGCCTCAAACTCAAATTCTACTCCTTCAGATATTACAGGTATTTATTTTCTTTTGGCATTTCCAGTTCCATTCTTTTACTATTTTCACGGTTATCTGATTGTATTATCAAACTATTTGCTGGGAAGTGCTACTTATATCCTGAACAGGATTTTACCTGAATATTTGGGGTTTGGTTACTATTAGCTCTTGGTTGGATGTAATCTTTACGTATAAGTTTAACCTTGTGGATTTTTGGCTTTTCAGGTGAATCTGATGATGATCGTGAAGACATTTTTGCAGCAGCCAATTCAGCACGGAAAGCTGCAAGTACTCATCCTTCCATACGTCAGCGTCATATCTTTCAAGTTCTATTTCCACAAATTTCCTTCTAACTGCTAATATCTTATTGTAGATCTTGCTTGTTCGGGTAAGTTTTGGAAGAAGATGGACCACATTTTTTCTGCCGTCAGTACAGATGACATGCAAAACATAAAGGATCAGGTACTAATCAAGATACCATAAAATACCATATATGTGACCTTTCTCTAGGGTGCCAACTCAAACTCTCGCTAACTTATTATTATAAAAAAACAGCTGAATTTTGCAGAAGAACTCGATGAATCTCTTTCAGAGGCAATCTTAGATGGATATAACATCATGGTAAGATGCATTGTAAACTTCTGCAATAATGCCTAATTTAATTCTCTCCCTTTTTCATCTGAATGTTGCATGAATGAAATAAACTCCTTTCTGTCTCAGGGTGTCAAATTGCCGAAAGCACCACGTCGCCCTGGTGAGGGAATTGTTGACTATTCCGGTCCAGCCTCATCATGTATATCTGATCTTTCATTTGAGAGATTGGACATGAGAAAGTTGAATGAGAGTACTCCGTTGTATAAGAGGGTACTTTCTGCTTTAATTGAGGAAGATGATGGAGAAGAAGTTGTACAATTCAATGGAGGGAAGAATCTGTCTCTTCATTACGCTAGTGATGATTCTCACTGTGGTTCATGTACCTATATTGACACCGAGTTCAGAGAGAGAGACAGAATGGAATTTGAAGTAGAGTCAAGCGGGGATTTTCAGACACCCAAGAGTTGTTTGTTTGACAGATTTTCCAGTGAGAGGAGTGTTGTGTCTAACCCTTTCAGAAATGGCAGCATGTCTATGTCCGCCCATAGCAATGAACAGTGGATTGGGGATGATGATCTTTCACATTCGGATGCTGCACTTGGCGGTGAGACATATGCAAATAGTCTGGGTCAATTGCAAGCTAGGGAAGTGAACATTCCCAACTTCCCAGTATCTGACACCCAGTATCAGCTTATGTCTTTGGATGAGCGGCTTCTTTTGGAACTGCAGAGCATTGGTGTGTTTCCTGAAGCAATGGTATGTTTTATCTTCAGTCAGTTAATCTGTCAAGAATTTGAGCTAAAGGATACAGCATGTCAGTCTAGCTTTTCCACTCATTTCCATTTTTTCTTTTATCACAGCCTGATCTGGCTGAAGAAACTATGAGCACAGATGTTATGGAGTTGAAGGAAGGCATTTATCAGCAGGTGAACGCAAAACAAATATTTCACACTTTACTTTGTTTGTCCGGTTCCCGTTGAAATTTAATCTTTGACGGGTTGTAACATTCTATATCTTCGACCAATGATAGATCCGAAACAAGAAGAAAAAGCTGGAGAAGCTGAATATTACCATCCAGAAAGGGAAAGATGTCGAGAAAAGGTTGGCTTTGGCTTTTTTCAGATTCCATTATTTTTCAATTTACACCGTTATTTTTGCTAAAGAAATCAGATTTTCATGCAGGAAAATTGAGCATCTTGCTATGGACCAGCTTGTGGAAACAGCGCACAGGAAAAGAATGGTAAAAAAACTTGTGAATGTCTGCACTTTTATCAAAATCAACTTGGATGAATGATTGTGGGATGAGATACATATGGGGTTCCCATTGATTGATTGATGTTACTCTGAAAACAGGCATGCCGTGGAAGTAAAGCAAATAAAATCCAAAAGGTTACGAGACAAGTGGCGCTGGCTTTCATCAAGCGGACTGTTGCCAGGTGTCGCAGGTTCGAAGAAACCGGGCTTAGCTGTTTTGCCGATCCTGCTCTGCAAGACATCCTGTTTACATCTCCCAGCAACGATGCAAAATCAGCAGAAAATGGTGGTTCTGGAACAGCCAGTAATACGCTCAATGAACCTTCTAATCACCAGGCTGAGGGCAAGGGTTCAGGTACGCAAAAAAGTCCATTATTGATCTTTCAAATAGTTTCTTCTGCTAGGACATTATGACAACATAGGTAAAGATTGTTTCAGATTAGTGCGAAAGCATATTCACACACACACACACACATAGACCTGTATGCAGCTGCATTCTGTTTTCTTATCTTAACCATCTCCATACATGTATTTATTAGATGCTAATGGTCAAGTCGCTTGATGCAGTAGTTAGAGAGTGGTCACACTTAATTGTCGGAAAATCTGAGCGATTTGGGTTTTGTAGGTGCAGTGTCTAGTACAAAGAGGAGAGAAGCATTGATAGATGATGTTATTGGGTGCGCTTCGTCCAAAGTCACAACGAGCATAGATAGCGCGGTGCTTAGTGGAGGAGGAAAGAGAAGCGAGAGAGAAGATGGTTTCAGGAACAAGAACAAACCGAAACCCAAAGAAAAGAACAGCAGCAACACCAACGAGAACCAGTCAAGATCCACCACAACAACTCACCCAACAGGTCCAGCAAGCAGAGGCACCTCAAACCGAGGAGGTGCCTCTGGAGATGGTGCAGTTGACGAGGAAGCACCTATCGATTTTTCGAAATTAGCGTTCCATGATCTTGAGGAGATAGATGAGCAGGCAGATATTGGAAACTGGTTCGAGGGTCTTCAGGACATTGATACGGCAGGGCTTGATGAGGTTCCTATGGATGATCTCTCTTTTATGTTTGGGTAAAGGAAGACAACACTTGACTGGAGAAATTGGTCTGACGCATACCCACAAGTATCTAATTTCTTGTTGTTTTGTTTCTTTAACTTTTTTTTTTGTATATTTGTAGTGAATAGTGATTGCCTGCCTCCTGACTTGAAGGCGAGTATTGAACATTGATTTAAAATATAATATAATTTGTATTTTTCATTTCAAATGTATTTCTTCGTATAATTCCCTTGGTAATGACCCTGGCTAATTGATAAAGCTTGACATAATAACAGAATTCTTACAAGAAAATTCGTATATGGGCTAATACCTAATAGGTTTTGAACTATTAGATGTTTATTTTTTTTCTTTCAATTTTACTCAGTGGTTGTGTGACATGTATTGCGACTGATGAAATAAATCTAAGTTTTTGAGGCCCCATGATTCTATGAACGATGCACCTTCGTCTCCAATTTGGTCTACGTATATACAGTGTTCCAAAATTTGTGGAAAGGCTTGGGCTATATATATTAGTCTCTTTGTGTGGGCCTAAATGGCCATATTATTGGGCTTTAATTAGGGTTTTCCCTCCTCTTCCCCGTACTCTCTCCCTCGTATTTCTGGTGTATATAAGTTTACACACGACCCATTCTCTCGCCGTTCTTTCTCTGTTTCCGATCTTCCACAGGTATTCTTCTTCTTCTTCTTTCCCTCGCTTTCACTCTTTTTACGCCGGCGGCTTATTTACATTGCAGTTTATCTATATCGAATCTGAGAACGATGGTCGAGAACCCTTGAAATCTGATGGAAAATATTTTTTTTTTCTTAATTTTTCGTTTCAGGAGGCAAGAGTATCTGAGGGAGTGCTAAAATGAGGTTTGTCTGCTCGAATCGAATTGTATTTTGTTCTTATGGTTTCATTCGATGTGATTCTCTAGCTACTATGTACGTTAGTAATGATATATAGCTCTGGAATCAAAGTAGTATTGTTGATTTTTAGATACCTATAACACTGTAAATACCTTCGAAATGTCTTAAAATCCTAATACGATTTTCATAACATTGGCATAATCGTGAATAAAGTAGGTGAAAATGACTTACATATGAATCGTAGATATCGCTTCTCTTGAAAAAAAAAAATCAAAGTGTTAGGTTGTTTGATTTCGTAAGTAGATTCTGTGTCATACTGGGTAATTATATAACGTTGAAAATTTTCAATTTTTTGAATGGTGCAGTAAGCTCCAGGGTGACGCCGTGAGAGAGGCGATAACCGCCATTGTCACTTACTGCAAGGAGACAAAGCCACGCAAGTTCACAGAGACCATCGAGCTCCAGATTGGTCTTAAGAACTATGACCCACAAAAGGACAAGAGATTCAGCGGATCCGTCAAGCTGCCTCACATTCCAAGGCCAAAGATGAAGATTTGCATGCTCGGAGACGCCCAGCACGTTGAAGAGGTGAAACTTTTGTGATCCGGTTTTGTGTTTTATTCTTTTGAAAATGTTATGGTTGTGTTAGTATATTAGTTTTAACTGTTTGGGGGTTTGGTTTACTTAGGCTGAGAAGATTGGATTGGACTCTATGGATGTCGAAGCTCTTAAGAAGTTGAACAAGAACAAGAAACTTGTTAAGAAGCTCGCCAAGAAGTTCCACGCTTTCCTTGCTTCTGAATCTGTCATTAAGCAGATCCCTCGTCTCCTAGGTCCCGGTCTCAACAAGGCAGGCATGTTTAAGGAAACCTAATCTTCCATTAGTTGTATCTTCACTTGATCTGAAATCTTCGTAAATATTCATTTGACATTACTTTTGACTTGTTTGAACAACAAACAGGAAAGTTCCCTACTCTTGTTAGCCACCAGGAGTCTTTGGAATCAAAAGTGAATGAGACGAAGGCAACAGTGAAGTTCCAGCTCAAGAAGGTTCTCTGTATGGGAGTTGCTGTCGGCAACCTTTCCATGGAAGAGAAGCAGATCTTTCAGAATGTTCAGATGAGCGTTAACTTCCTCGTTTCACTCTTGAAGAAAAACTGGCAAAATGTTAGTACAAACTTTTTTCTTCTTGATCTTCATTGATCATCCTTATACATTTTAAGTCTCTAAACTTGAGTTGTTGCTTAAAATTTATTTGCAGGTGAGGTGCTTGTACTTGAAGAGTACAATGGGTCCACCAAACCGGGTTTTCTAAGATTTTTATCTCATAGTTTTTCTAAGGTATCATCAGGCATTAAGGAAAATTGATTTTCTTGTTCTGTCATGAGCCTTCTTCTTCTTCTTGGGTTAATTCCAGTACTTGGTAGGATGAAGATTTTGTTGAAAGACAGTTTTGTTTCTACCATTGCTATTATTATTATGGGTTTTTTCCATTTAAATTTCCAAGTTTTGCGATTTCGTTATCAAGATCGGTTAAAGTCTTTTAGTTTTCTGTGATATACTTCTGTCGATTAGTTAATTCTCTCAAGTCTTTAACATTCTCAAACAAACCAAATGTGATTACTAATGTGCATCGAAATTAAAACCGATTCCTAGTTTGATATTTCTATTTTGCTCTTCTTAAAATACGAAACTTAATGTTACGTTTACGTTTTGGCTGCAAATTTGTAACACTATACATATAAAGATGAAGTTTTCAGTATCAGACTCATTTTTGTTGGATTAACCCAATCTTATTACCACAAACTTGATACAAGATTAAAACTACACGAAACCAATAAACAACGTTTTCTTGTCACATCAACAAACCTTTATATCTCACTAAACAAAAAACTTTAATATGGTAATTTTTTTTTTCCTTGGCTCACTTTAATGTCTTAAAATTACATAAACATAACATATCACATGAATAAAAATATATTTCAAGTCTTAACAAGCACACTTAATTATAATCATGGGATGCCAATGATTGGAATAAAGGGAAAGAAGCTAACAGGTGGGAATCCAAAACCTCCTGTCCCCGGAAAATTAATAGTCTTCGAATCTCCGATCATATTTCCGACATAATCTCCGGTTGGTTTGGGGCATGAGAGAGAGAAAGAAAGTGGGTTTGAGGTAGTTAAAACATTGGAATCGTGTTTGGACTTAACCAATTCAGATACCAAGTTGTGTTTGTGAGCATAGAGCTGCTCAGGACCTCCTAAAAGCTTCGCAAGACACTTCATGGAGCGGTTTTTGTCAGCGGTCCGAAGCATTGACCGGAAAGATCCGTCTGAACCAGCCATCGTGGTTATCGATTTCTTCTCTCCGTCGCACTTAAGGAGAACCTTAACGCCTGTAAAATATAATTATATTCAACAACACAATTGTAGACGCTGAAAACAAAATACTCATGCTAATTTTGTTATGGTAGAAACAAAAAATTACGCTGAAAATGTAACGAAATTTATAGTAATGTAAAAAAAAAACATTTATTGAAACAATTAAGCTGGATGATCTAACTGGCGAATATACCAAGAAACATAGAAAAAAATATGGTCAGCGGTGTAGACCTGAGAAGTCGAAATCATGGTGGCAGTCAAGGCAAGAGACCTTGCCGCGGACAAGCGAAGAAGCAGAGAGCTCGAAGTTGGAGAAGATGGCCAAAACGAAAAGCAAGAATGCTGCAAGAGCTACTTGATTCGCCATTGATGAAGTTCAAAACTAGAACAAAGATTTTATGGAATTGATTGCTTTAGATATCTTCTTGTCTGAGTGAAATATGGGACATGTATGGGAAGCCTTTATATAAAATATAAATACGAGGATTTTGTAAATAAAGGGACTAAAATGCGTTGATATTTATTGGTTGGCATTGCACACGTAGATATCGTACATTTTGTATTTCTTCTATATTAACGGCTCTTTAATTCATCCGCTTTTACTTTTGCCGTAACTTATATTCAACCTAACAATTTGTTAAATTCAAATAATTTATATACGTACGAACACCATCACTAGTCTGCTAAGCTGATTCAGAGAGACCCTATTAATTATTATTCTCTCCGTTTCAAAATAAATGTTATTTTAAGGTTTTATTTTTATTTTACAAAAAGTATCACTTTACATTTTTAAAGCATTTTTAATGATTTTTTTAATTTATATGAAAAGTGTCAAAATAATATTTATTTTAAAATGAAAAAAATATACTTTATAGCAAATAAATGACCATTTTTGTGCTTTTAATGAGAACACATCTTTTATTGGTTTATATATCTGTCATTCAGGTGTTTAGTTTCCAATTGTCTCTTCTTAAGTAGTCCAAATCCACTAAACGAAATAGAATTAAGGAAAACATCTTTATATCCATGCAACGACATTTATGTGGGATTATTTGTATTAATTGTAGTTTAACCATCTTTACTCGCTAGAGGTTAAAGTGATACTGTCGTTTTAATGAGCCGTGATACCAAAATTGGAAAGCCTAGTGGGAAAACATATTCTCATTACTGTCGTTTTAATGAGCCGTGAAGGTTTGCTCGACAGTAACAGTGTCAGTGGTTGCATCATATTTAAAGCCGATGAATTATGTATCCCACTTGTCCATCAAATGTGTCAATTTCTTTTTCTTTTTTTTCTCCATGTTATAATCGAAACTGTTATTGTTGTTGGTTAATAATGTCTATTTTTTTGCCTTTGTAGGTTTTTTGTGTGTGTATCAGCTCATATTTTTTTCCAATTCTTAATCCATAGTGAAATTAACTACTCCCTCCGTTTTTTATTATATGATGTTTTAGAGATATGCACACAGATTAAGAAATTATTTAATTCTTTATTTTTTCAAAACAAAACATATATTTTTGTCAATACCAAAACAATTCAACCAATAGAAAAATAAGATTCAGAATTCAAACAGTCAAAACAACAAAAACACAATTAATTTTTGTATAGAAAGTTGAGAACATCATATATTTTGAAACAAAAAATAAACTATAAACATCATCTAATAAAAAACGGAGGGAGTATAAAATAATTCGAAAAATGTCCATCTATATTGGATGTTTTTGTTTTACCATTGGATTTGTAAACTTGTTTCACTAAAGTCTCTGTTCTCTTCCATTTAGTTATTATTATTATTTTTGTTCAAATACCTTTGAATAGTTGTAGTTTTTACTATTTCCATCTCTCTTGTTAAACTGTTATGCTGTAACTAATTTAAAATTTTTGATTTTCTTTTATCGACAAAAACCTGAAAATACTTGGCAGTTGGCACGGCTCCACAAATCATCAATCAGTATCCAACTATTCACATCAATATATTTCTATATATTATTACAGCCTCGTATTATATGGATTATAATCTAATTTAAATTAACGAAACAGAAGAACAAATTCAAAATATGTAATTACACATAAAGAAAAGATATTACATGGAAAGAGGATAGCATTTTTTTTTGTCACAACATAAACAAAATCATCATTACTTTTCGAACTCCCATCGATTAATTATTTTTTGATTATGTATAGTAGGCTTAACCCATACAATACAAATATCTTCTGATTTGAATTTTTATAATACTTGTGTTTGCAGACTTGCAGTTTATTTCCTGAGCACGTGTGTAACGAGGCCATTGATATGTGTATTCATAAAATAATCTTCCCAATCAATGCATTTTGTGTTGAAGCCGAATAATTTGTCCATCCCTTTGGCTTCATTCTTGATACGTAACGTTTCCAGATTTCTATCATCAAATCTGCATGTAACACAATAAAATTTCAAAGTATAGTTATAATGTGCATTAAGGCATGGAAAAAAGAACTGTACATATAAACATAAAATTGAGAACTAATAATTTTATTTTTAGGATAGTGTAGTGAATATTGGGTTAACATACTTTTACTAATTAAATTTTAAATAGGTATATACCATTAAAAATGGAAGAAATTAAATGTGAAAAGGGAGAGTTAAACATACATGCCCTTGAAGAGTAGAAAAGGCTCGTAAATTTTCACCATTCGCATGGCCTTCTTGAATTTACGGTTGTTTTGTTCGTATTTATCTCCGAATTTCGATGGGAAAGCTGTACTAAATAATCCCAATATCTAAAGAAATAAAAACAGAGAGCAAATCTGAGAATGATTAACACCTCTAGAGAAAAATGTCTGTCACATGCAGTTTATGAATTGTACCTGTAAAGGTAATTTAAAGCGAAGGCTCGTGTAGAGACGGAACCTAGCCCTTGTCGATAACACTGTAAGGCTTGGGGATATAGGTATACCATTGCGACCGAGCAGAGGGTTTTCCACAAAGTAACGAACCATCATTTCATAAACCTGTTTATACATAACCGGATTCCGGTAAGATGAGCTGACATGGTAAACGGTATGACTTCCCGAATCATCGAAATGTTCAGCTGCGGTCGCGATCATCGCGTTTGCCACCATATCGACCGGTATCTGTTTATGGACATACAGTGTCGTGTTAGCATCATCAAGCTAGTATAAAATTAGAATCTTAATATAATTTACATTTTCTAAAATTCGCATTGTGCCTAGCGAACTTACCATATCACATATTGTCTTAGGATCATTGAGAAAACACTTTAGCATTCCCTTTCCGTATAAAATGATCACACTGTCTATGGTTCTTCGTATATCCAATAACCACATAAGAAGTTGAGTAAGAAAGAGATTATATATATAAAGAAATGTTCAAAAAAAGAACAAAAAAACAATTGATAGTAACAATCAAATAAACGACACATTATTAATTAGGTCAATGGAATTTTGGTGATAATTAACTTACTTGAAGCCTTCAATCCAACCGGGAAACGGATCAGAGAAAGTGCTTGTGATAATTGTTGGACGTATGACTACAATAGATAGTTTTTCTCTATAGTGTCCAAGAAGCATCTCTCCCATTGCTTTGGCGAAGACATATGGGTTTGACCATCCATAAAGTTTTGCCCTAATTAACGTTATAAATGAAGAGTGTGCCTCAAGTTACTTCATAGTATCTTCCGAGTTTCTAATTTTGGTATTTGAAGACAAACCTTTTGAATCCAAGATCTGTCATGGCTTGTTTAGTTTCTTCTTCTGAGCAACCTTGTTCTCCGAGTTGTTTCAATTTCTGCTCTACCAGTTGCATTGCGGTATAGATATCTACCTTGGTTTTTCCGTTAAGAGTTTCTCCCATAGCGATAGGCTTCTCATGTATGAGTCCCGATATTTCCCCACAAACATAAGCTAGAAAAGAAAACAAATATTTCTACATATAAGTATAATTATATATATATAGACATGTATGTATATAATATATCAATTTGGTTATCAAAGTTTGAAATGATTCATCACCAGTTGAGACATGGACAAGCACTTGTGCTTTCGCGCACTTTTTAACAAAGTTCAGGACATTGAGTGCTCCAAATGTGTTGATTCGAAGAGCAGCATCGTATCTTCTCACATACAAGAGAACCAAGATCTAATTAATATATATAGTCGACAATAATTTTTTTTTGTTGTTGTTGAAATGAATGTTAAATTAATCTAAACAAAAAACCTGTTTTACAATAATTAATATATATATATATATATATATATATATATATATGGTCGACAATAATTACTATGCTTCTCATTTTTATTTTTTTTTACAAATCAATCGAAATGTACTACCTTTCGTCGAATCTCGTGGTGGCAGCAGAATTGAAAACAACGTCGATCTCTTGCATCATATCTTGTAAGAGATTAGAGTCACTCACTCCCATATAGTTCAGTGATATGTCGCCTGGAACAGGAACAACTTTTTCCGAGATTAAAGCGTCTAAACTTTCATGATCACCAACATTCTTTCTTAACACACTAAACAGATCTTTCTCGAAAACCTGTTAAGTAATCAAGTCAGAACATTCAAATTCGTATGAATTTCTCTAACGAAAAAATCTGGTCATACATATATTTTGGCATACGTATAGATAAATATACCTCATTGTGTAACCGTTGTTCTGCGGATTTCTTGTCGGATGCTTTTACGAGGAGGTAAAGCCTCTTCACGTTTGGCTCCAACCTCAGAACTCGCTCCACGAAAACTATGTTTAGATAATAAAGTTGTTTATCATAAATAAAAAAAGTTGCTCAGATATAACTTAATATTGATTTCTCGAAGTATACGAGACTATGAAGAATAGTGAACATAGAATTACCTTTACCAAGGAAACCGGAAGCACCAGTGACGAGTATTGTCTTGTTCTCAAGAGACTGAACATAATTTGGTCCCATAGTTGAATATCAAAAACCTTAGTGAAGTGTTTGTTGTTGAGAATGTTTTGGTCCTAGTACTATAACACATGTATTTATAACTTATAGCCGCAGCTCATAAGCGCATTTCGGTTTGTTCATTTTCAAATACTTATTTTTTTATATATACAGTTCAATTTCTTTTAAATATTAAAATTTAATTATATATATTAAATTATTATAAATGTATTTAAAACATATCTACCAGTATCCAACCGTCCAAAAACGTGGTGTGTGCAGACGATTGTAAGAGCATCAATCAAACCTTTAATTGTGATGTCGGTCATAGAGTTTAACACATGCAACTTTTTGCCAGATAGGAGCATCAATCAAACCGTAATTTTCCAAAAATATCAATTTTCCAAAAACGTGGTCTTAAGTAATTTTTTTACTAGACGGCGTAAAAATAACAAGAAGTTTTTAAATATCAAGTTACTCTCTATTTCGTCTGGCGATAATCTCAAGACATGCATGAAGCTATTCGTGAAGAACTCTGCAACGCCATTCGGAATAAGCTTGCCTCTCTATCTGCTTTCTCGACGGTGATTCCAAAATTTTCTGATATTCCGAAAACCGTTTCTATCTTCAGATCAAGTAGTTGCACATGTTTGACGATAACTAGCTTCATCATCTACAACCAACTAGTACCAAAGCAGTAAATTACTGCTATATATGTAAATATATCAATTCCTACCAAACTTTTTGTCCCATTGAAAGCAAAGTTTAAAGATGTGTACTAGTGCCCAAAAAACAATACCACTCTAGAGGAGAGAAGACCACAAGAGATAGAGAAGTAACCAGTGCGAATTTAAAGCGTAGGTCAGGAAAATATGGTCCCAATTTCCGCAAATTCTTAAGGTTTTTCATTGTTATTCCTTTAATTAACCCTTAAGGAACCAACTCAGATGCCATAATAAAGAAATTCACAGTCGAAATACACAAGAAAAATGACAAAATGAAAAACGAAAAATTTAACTCATAATAAAAAGGGCACGTTGCATTAGGTTTGCATGTTGAGTTCGAGCCTGAGGTTCCTGTAAGGGCTCCAGCGCCAGGTGCATCCTCCAATTTTCAGTTTTTGAGTCTTGCAATTAGGGTTTGAGTAGTTTTGGAATTTTTTTTTAGCTCTCTTCTAGTGTTTCATAGGTCGTTGTATTATGGTAGAAGGTAATTTATAACAGCATTTTGTGAATTATCGAATTGTTGGTTTTACAGAATTGCTTTTAAAAATATTGCTCTGACTTATCTCTCAACTATAATCTTATCATTTCAAGAGTCCAATCTTATCTTCCATTTCGGTTAGTCTCAACTCTAAAGTGAGCAGTAAATGAATAAATAATGCTTCTGATCAGGGCTTAATTATATACCAATTAAGGTTTATTTGTTTCTGTTTGAATGTAATTCCCTCTCTTTGTATCTCATCTCTTGCTTGTCTTGCGATCTCATCACTTTAGTGCAACAGTCTTTTGATCTTTTACTGTTATAAATTTTAATTAGCACTTGAGAACAACTCAGATGCCATAACAGTAGAATTTAATTCACACCCGCAAATCCAAAATAAATAAATGACAAAATGAAAAGAAACAAAAAATCGAAAATGTCAACACATAATTAAAAAAAAAAAAAACGGCGGGAAGTTTTAGGGCATGCAAAACAGTTTTTTGCAAGATTGACACGTTTTTCTGATCTCCCCGTTTTTCTTGTCTTTAACTAGCACCGATCCCAAATTCACCATCGCCTTACCAAACATACCCAAGAAGTCACCGCCGTTGGCTAAATCCGTCACCACTTTACTCGTCAACTCATCACTGGCGAGTTGTTGATCGATTTGAAGAATTCCTCGGCGAGATTTTATCTGCTTGTAGTAAGATGCATCGACAGTTTTCGAGCTCGTAAAATCTTGATCAAGATCAATGGCTCCATCAGTTGGTGAATTCTTAGGACATTTTTGTTGTAACGTTTGGACCAATCCAGAATCCATAGATGGGTCAGGTTTTTGCGTATTCTTAAAATTATATAGCCGGTCCATAATGAATGAACAATGCGTTACTCCAATTGTATGTCCACCTATATAAACACGCACATATATATATGTCACTAACTATAAGATTATATCATCAAAGGTTTAATATGTTATGAAATATTTTTCATACCAAGAAGTAGAACCATATCGTTAAGGCTAAGGTTTTTATCACGGAACATTTTAAAGGTGTCGGAGACACTCATTTGAGGAGACGGCAATACCACTGACGTCGCCGATGATTCCCTACCATCAAATCGTCCCGTTGGTATCTCGTATCTTGCTTTCTCTCCGCTTGCCTTCAAATCAAAGTTTTAACATTATACTTTCGCAATAGGTTAAGACATATATAAAATGGAGGATGTTAAGAGTGTGTTGTAATTACAAGAAAAACAAGATCTCTAGTCGCGAGAGCTATGATATCAGCACAAGAAACGACTCCTTCGCATTCTTTTTCGAGAGCAGTTTTAACGGCATCTATCAGTTCATATCCTCGTACACTTAGATTTGGCGACGCCTTCCTCTCAGTGTTCGGACCATCCAGAAGAAGCGATGCATCGCAACCCTACATACATTTTAAAAAAAAAATACATAAGATCAATCATTGCTTCTTTTAAGACTCTTTAGAACATTTTTCAAACATTTAAACTGTAAGAATATATGATAAATAAACTAACGTTGCTAAAACAATCGTGAAAATAGAGCCGGATCATTTGGGGTGCAATGGTTGAATTATTTATGAATGCCTCTTTAACAACTTTAAATACGGTGGCTTCGACGCTTGGGCAAGAGTCCTTGTAGAATCCTTGTTGAAGTTGGCCATAACAGCAATGGCCGAAGCTAAGCACAGCAAGAAAGACGATTAGTGCTGATTTGGTGGCCATTTTTTTAATTTTGAAATTTATATATGAATTCCTGTTATGGGGAGTGTAGAAAAATGTTGTAACTTTATAGTGTTGAAGTTTGATACAAAATGTGAGGCAAGCACGATTCTCCAACGTGCTATTATGGATATAATATTTGATTCTAGTTCTCCTATTAAGATTTTACGGATAATTGTCGGCCTGGCTTCAATTTATTATCGGGCAGTTGGTTTGATGGAGGTGTGCACTTACAATCATATAATTATGTAGCTAATATATTGTTTTTTTTTAATACCAAAGCTAATATATTGTTTTATGAAAAAAAAAAAATGTCCTCAAACTCACATTTAATTCTCAGGTATATGCATCTTCAACCGAATTCACATGTTATTTGTGGAAGAATTATGAATCTTATATCTCTCTGACCTTGAAATCTTTTTACTATTATTTTTCTTATATTTACCAAATAATCTCGCAGTTTATAAAGTGTTTTTTGTTGTTGCCAACTTGCCATTTAGAAAGTTCTACTTAATAGACATGTATCACATAAGAAAAGCATCGTATCGTATGCACATAACACGAGTTTTTTATCTTTAAACACACCATTTGTTTTTTTTTGTTAAAACACCAAAAACAAATCCTAGTTCTTTGCTTTGAAATAAATAAAAAATGTTTCTTTAATCCTGACTTTGTGTATATATACGTGAATACTACTAATCTACGCAGTACGCACATAACCTGGTCTCACATATTAGAAAGACGTGCAGGAATTATTTAAACAAAACAGATTTGCCCCAAACGAAATCCACATTTATAGTGACAAAGGATTTAAAACATTATCAATGTTTATTGATACAAATCGGTAGTTCTTGTAAACTAATCTCAGAAAATGTATATAACATGTATAACATTGTTTAACAAAAAAAATGTATAACATTTACTTGATTAGTGAGCACTGAGATTCACATTCTCTTTCGAGTATTTAATTATTTTACTATTTTTGTAATAAAATTTCCTTGTCACTTGCTAGTTGCTACATCAATCAAAAATCCTAACGCATTTATTCTGATTTATAAATATGTCAACTTCCAACAGTTTAATATCTCATGATATATAAATTGTTAATCCTACGCTCACTAGGACAAACAAATTGTAATCTTTATTGACCCCAAAACACATGGTTATGATAAGCTACATAACGGTGAAATGGTGTTTACGGATTAAGTGTTTGATTTTTAGAAAACATAAAATTTGTATGGAGAAATTAACAATCATTTTGCAAACTTTGAATATATATATTGTTTTCGACCAAAAAAAAAAGAATATATATATTGTTTCCCCTTTTTTTCGATTTCAATATTTTCTTTTTTATTTCCTGCAATTCCGCTGTTTCTCAGCGTTGTTATGTGAGTCAAACTTTGAATAATATGGCAACCGATTTCATCTAATTAAAAGTTAACTAATCCACTAAATTAGGGTTTCAATTAAGAATTGCAGTTAATTTCCCACCAATTCGACGCTCTAATCTTCGATCCTGAGCTCTGTGGCTTTCGTCTTCTACCCTCAAACCCAAAACCCAGAGGAAATAACAAGAGAGAAGGGTAATGATTCCTCGCACGTCCCAATTTTCTTCACTTCAATCTCATCAAAGCCTTCTCTTTCCTTGCATGATTTGAACCAAAAAGCTTATTCCTTTCCTTTTTTTTTCTGATAATTCTCCTTTTGTTTTCTTTTGTGTGAATCTGAAGCCTCGCCATGACTGAAGTCCTTCACTTTCCTTCATCTCCAAGCGCTTCTTCTCCCTCTTCGTCTTCTTCACCTTCTTCCTCTGCCTCCCGTTCCAATGCGACTCTCCGTATTAGCTCTGACCATCGGAGAAGGAACCCAGCTCCTGGATTCGCGCAAGATGTTGACTTTCAGGGCTCAATCGAACAACAACAACAACAACAACTGCAAGATTTGAGACGAAGCGTCGACGGGGAAGACGACGGCGGGAGCAGCGGCGGGGAAGATCAGCTCTCGCTGTTGGCTCTTCTCGTCGCCATCTTCAGGAGATCTCTGATTTCTTGTAAGAGCAATCGGAGGGAGCTCTGTAGCATGGAGATCGGATGGCCCACCAATGTCCGCCACGTGGCGCACGTCACCTTCGATCGCTTCAATGGCTTCTTGGGTTTGCCCGTCGAGTTCGAGCCTGAGGTTCCCAGAAGGGCTCCAAGCGCCAGGTACATTGTCCATTCTCCCATTTTGATTCTTGCAATTAGAATTTGAGGAATTTTTGGGTTTGTTTGGCTCTCTTATAGAGTTTCATAGCAGAAGGTACAGCATTTTGTGAATTTGGTCTTCATTGCTGGAGAAACTGTGATTATCGAATTGTTCGTTCTAGAGAATTGTGTTTACAAGACTGCTCTGACTTATCTCTCAACTATGAATGATCATGTTAATGTCAAGAATCCATTCTTATCTTGCATTTTCGGTTTGGCTCAGTGTTTGGTTGTATACAAACTAAGGTTTATGCAGAATCACTAGAACCAAAAAGATAAAGAGCTTATTCGAATTCGAATCCTTCATCAGTCAGTACATGAAGTGATTAGAACACATTCTTGTCTTTCTCAGTTTTTTAGTCTCAGCAGAAGCTTAGAGCTCTACGTTTAGACGCTGCAATTAAACACTTGATATTGGCTCTTTCCTTTTGTAAACCGTGCCAAGATTGGGCTATTGACTCATGTGAATGCATCTCAGAACTCAGAACTTGATTCATTTTAACAACATTTAGCTGGTAGCGCCTGGTACTATTTACTATCTATTGGTTGAAGTTAAAAAATGCAAAGATTGCATTGCTTATTACTATTTATAGGCAACTTTGCATTTGTAACTTTGCTCTTCTGAGGAGTACTTTTTTATTTGCCTGAATGTGATTCTCTCGCTTTGTATCTTATAATTCTCATCGCTTACTGTTTTTGCTATCTCAACACTTTAGTGCAACAGTCTTTGGGGTATCAACCGAATCAATGCAGCTATCATATGATTCAAGAGGCAATTGTGTACCAACCATACTCTTGTTGATGCAAAACTGTTTATACGGTCAAGGAGGCTTGCAGGTACATTGCTTCATCGAGTTTCCTCCAAAGTGAATATCTTATAGTTAAGCTTTCCATGAAATGGCTTCTTCACTTCTATTTTCAGGCGGAGGGAATTTTTAGACTCACTGCAGAGAACAGTGAGGAGGAGGCAGTTAGAGAGCAACTAAACCGTGGAATTATACCCGAGCGAATCGATGTTCACTGTTTAGCAGGGCTTATCAAGGTATGTCATGTCTGCACAAGCACATCTTCTTTTGCAAAAGTTATATGTTCATCTTGTGTATTTTTCTAATCTAAATGGTTTCAGGCATGGTTTAGAGAACTCCCTACAAGCGTTCTTGATTCGTTGTCACCGGAACAAGTGATGCAGTGCCAAACAGAGGAGGAATATGTCGAGCTCGTTAGGCTTCTTCCACCTACAGAAGCTTCTCTGCTTGATTGGGCCATCAATCTAATGGCTGATGTTGTTCAGCATGAACATCTTAACAAGATGAATTCACGTAACATCGCTATGGTATTCGCGCCTAATATGACACAGGTGAGACCGCAACAACAAGGTTTTTTTAACTGTCAATGTTTTACTCGTGTGGTTAGATTAAACATATTGATTGAAAAGAAAAAAAACCTCTCTTGTGTAGATGGATGATCCATTGACAGCGCTGATGTATGCGGTTCAAGTGATGAACTTCCTCAAGATGTTAATAGAGAAAACACTAAGGGAAAGGCAAGACTCGGTAGTAGAGCAAGCTCATGTATTCCCTTTGGAACCTTCTGATGAGAGCGGTCATCAAAGCCCTTCACAGTCTTTGGCATTTAACACCATAGAACAGACTGAAGAGACGCAACCAGACTACACTGAGAATGCAGAAGATCAGAGTTTAAGCAGTGAGATATCAGACGATTCAACCCTTGAGAACGATGCTAGGACCGGGGGATTAAGTGACTCGGGTCAGATGGAAACAGAGAGAAAAAGTAGTGTGCATGTGCTGGCTCCGGCTCCTCCGGCTCAGTGGCCTGTGGGTAGAACAAAAGGACTGACCAACTTGAGCCGTGTAGGTTCGAGGGCAGAGCGTACTGAAGCTTGGCGGTGAAGAAAAAAGAACAGAGAACCCCTTGAGGAGACTTTAGCTGTTCTTCAAAACCAAATCGTTGGTTGGTTTGTTTTGTATGTGTTAATGTGGTTCATATTCTTTTTGTCAATGTTCTAAATTGACTTTCTTATGTGTTAAACCGTCCGTACCAATGCTTAATCAAACTTGTAAACAGTATTCAAACGGTGTCTCTCTCAGGCGTCTGACATTACATGGTGAAGCATGTTGTTTCCTATCAACCTTTGGTATTGTACGTAAAAGCTACAAATTAATTGCATGTATGGAACTATATCAAACATGGTTTATGTTATGTAAACATATATATTTATCTTATATATATACACTATTCACAAAACTGCTAGTGCACAAAGGAAAAGTTGAGATAATTTGGAAATGTGAATTGAAAATTGGTTCTTGGAAGAACCAAGGGACCATTGAAACTCTCAAGAAAAAGTGCATGACAAAAGCATATTGTAGAGGGGGAATATGTATAGTTGAATTCAACATTGTATAGTCATGCAACTTTTTTCTAGTGGGTCAAAAAAAAGTTGCACGTCATTTGCATACTTATTATACACGTATTTGGATACGCCTTTTCTAAGAATCATTTTTCAATCTAAATTATACTTGCTTTTATAGAAATTTCTTTTTGAAAAGCTGCAAAATAATGAGGTTATTAGTAGAAAGGAATAAGCGATGATATTTTGAATCAGTGGGAATTATGTGTTCTAAAACTCCTTGTTAACATTTTTTTTCATTGATAATTTAGAAATATATATTAAAATTGATAAAATTTTAAGAGTCACAAACTTTCATTTACTAATGATAGATCTAACTATTCACAAATAAGATTTTTAATTAATAAAATATATGACTACTCAAGCTTTAAAAAAACAATTTACGAAAAATGGAATACAGAGAAATTTTGGGTTGATCACAGCATTGTAAATAAATTCACAAGTTAGTA